TCTTGTCCCATCTTATCTTATCCCACCCAATCCAATCCGTCCAACCCAATCCATCAATTCATTTGTTTCTGCGGGTGCGGCGGGCCAATCAAATCCATCCTATCTCATCCAATCCATTTCTTCAAATCCAACCCATCTTATGTTTCCCAATCCATCGTAACCCATCCAGTAGTAGTAGTAGTAGTAGTAGTAGTAGTAGTAGTAGTAGTAGTAGTAGTAGTAGTAGTAGTAGTAGTAGTAGTAGTAGTAGTAGTAGTAGTAGTAGTAGTAGTAGTAGTAGTCGTAGTAGTAGTCGTAGTAGTAGTAGTAGTAGTAGTAGTAGTAGTAGTAGTAGTAGTAGTAGTAGTAGTAGTAGTAGTCGTAGTAGTAGTAGTAGTAGTAGTAGTAGTAGTAGTAGTAGTAGTACTCGAAGTAGTCGTAGTAGTAGTAGTAGTAGTAGTATAGTAGTAGTAGTAGTAGTAACAGTAACAGTAACAGCAACAGTAACAGTAACAGAAACAGTAACAGTAACAGTAGTAGTAGTAGTAGTAAGTAGTAGTACAGTCGTAGTAGTAGTCGTAGTAGTAGTAGTAGTAGTAGTAGTAGTCGTAGTAGTAGTAGTCGTAGTAGTAGTAGTAGTAGTAGTCGTAGTACAAGTAGTCGTAGTAGTAGTAGTAGTCGTAGTCGTAGTAGTAGTAGTAGTAGTAGTAGTAGTAGTAGTAGTAGTGATAGTCCCCCCAAGGCTCTGGGGAGCCTGTGGGCGGGGGGGCTACTGCTGCCCTCAAACCGCGGGTGGCAGCCACCCTTCCTTTTCTCGCGCCCTCACCGTTACGCGCACTCTTCCTTGCCCTGAAGGGGCGTCCTGGGATGGCGGCGGCCGCTGGCGGCGCCGCGGACGCAGGTGCAGGGGCTCGAGTGGCTGGGAGTAACGTCGCGGCGGCTCGAGGTGAAGGCGGTGCGCTGGCAGCCGCAGTGGGCAGCGGAGGTGCCGGGGCCGCCCCGTGCGCCTCCGCTGCTGCACGCGCACCGGCCGACGCAAACGCTGTAGACATCCCAGTGGACGGCAGCATCGACGTCCACATGCGGGACAGTGAGGGCCAGCCCGCACAACGGCGGCGTCGCATGACGGGAGGACGGATCACTCGCTGGTGCGTCAGCGCCCAGGCGACTCGCGGCAAGAAGGCCCACTGCACCCGCTGCATGGGAGGCTTCGAGGCGGGCGAATGGCGCGTGGCAGGCGCCGTGACGCGCCCCGTGGGCTCCCAGGCTCGCGCGGGCAAGAAGTGGTTCCACATGGCCTGCGTGGATGGCCCCCTACCACCAGCGACGGCGATGGTGGGCTACACGCAGCTCCTCGAGGCCCGAGGTGGCCCCATCTTGCCCCTGCTGGAGACGGTCGAAGGCCAGGCACCCACTCCTCCCTCCCAAGGAGATGGCGCGGCAGGGGGCGCTGGGGCCGCCCCGAGGCTCCCTGCCGCCGCCGCGCCAGGGGCGTATGGCCCAGGCTCACGAGGGGCCCCCCTTGTGGCAGCCGAGGCAGCGGCACCGTCCACGGCGGACATCTTGCAGCCGCCACTCGACGCCCCTGCGGACGTGGACGATGACGGGGGGCTTGAAGCAGGCGTCTACGACGACTACCTGGACGATCAGGTGACGGACGAGGACGCGTACCACGAGATTGGCTTTGTCAATCTGGATTGGTGGGATGCCATCGGGTGGGGCCGCATCCTGCTACAGGGCCCGCCCGCCACGGCCATGATCCCCGACAGCATGGCTGCCGCCGTTAGCCACGTGAAGGTGCGGCTGTGCCTAGCGATCGAGCAGGCCCGACAGGGCAGCGATGATCGGGCTTCACGCACGCTGACGCGGCTGTGGAAGGTGTTCTTATCGTTGGATGGGCTGCTGTTCAGCGAGAACGCGACCCCGACCCCGACGACGCGACGAGAGCGTCTCCAGGAGCGTTTGCAGTGGATTCAGGACGGCCAATGGGATGTCGCCTGGCTCTCCATGGAGGACCAGACACGCACCTCGGTCACCACGAAGGGCCGCGAAGACCACGTCGCGGCCCGCGTTCGCCGTGTCACCGAGCTCGCGCGAGCTGGCGAAATGTCTCGGGCGGCAGCGGTAGTGTGGCCCCAGGGTGGCATGGCGGATGCAGCGGCGGTGGTGAGGAAGTTCAGCGCCACCCAGCAGCCTGCGGCGCCTCGCCCAGGCGAATGGGGCCCTCCCCCTGGCACTGGGGCCGCCCCGCATGGGCCAGGGGGGGGGCCCACAGCGGCGGGGGCCGATGTGGCGATGCCGCCAGCCACGCCCCCTCACGAGCTCAACGGCGCGGCAGAGCTCCACCACCGTGTGGCCAACCACCTCAAGCGTCAGTTTGGCCGCTTCCCCCGCCGCGGCGGGGCGGGGCCAGGAGGAGGGCGCTACGAGCGCTGGGGCCCACTCAAGCACGACGAAGACGGGGCGGAGGCGGTGGCCGACACGCTGGCGCGCCTGGCCATCGGCGACCTTCCTCCCGAGG